AGTCTATCAAAGCTCTTGAAGTCCCAGAAAGTACCAAAAGGAAACTCTCAGGTAACAGTGAACAAGAACATCAAGTGTTGCATGTCAAGAGAGAACCAACATCTTTAAAAAAATGCTGAACGAATGTAGCATCTTCAGAGGCACATAAGTTGATAAATGAACCATGAGTAGGAGAAGCTAGCATTTGCAATCCTCTCAATCAGTACATATACTACTCCACAAGCCAGATATTCTAATAGGAGCAAAAGAAAACTATAGCAATCAGCTTAACAATCACGCAGCATGGGATCAACAGCAAACTCCCCTCTGTCTACAAAGATGCTCTCATGCCTAAAGCTATCCTCTGGGAGATTTGAGTGCATAAACCAATCACATACCAGAGATACTGAACCTGGAAGAGGTCAAACGATGGATGGATGGATGGATGTTCTTACCAAATATCTTCTCATTACCAAGATTCCATTCCTATTGAAGCAATAAGCTCTCATCTAAACCAGGAAACAAACAACATCCAAAACATGAAATGGTATAACTCACTCGATGACATTATTATCCAAAACAAAAAAAAAAAGATCCTCTTGAGACTCACATGTCATAACCATAGCTCTCACTCTCTTAATCAGAGGTAAAACTACCTAACTCTCAGCTTTTATTAAGTGCCTAATTTATTTCATAATAGTGAACTCACACACACACACACACACACACACACACACACACACACTTCTTTAAGTCGATGCAGGAAGCTCCCAACCATGTGGAATCGGTCCATAGTCATAGATGATCTCTCTGTGGCATGACCACACAAGCTTTATAGCCTCTGGTGTCCCTATCCCTGCTCCTCTCGGATCCCCTGCCGGTCCAAACCTGTTGCAACATAATATTATCAACCTTCTACATAAGATGAAAGATTGAGATTTATGTTTCTCTTACCAGTGATTCTGAGGAGCACCAGTTGTTCTTCCTCTAAGTCCAGCATAAGTAGTCCCATTCACTGAATTCCCTATCACTTCCTGCACCCATTTGTTACATCATTACACTTTGACAAAACAGATTGATTGATTGATAATGGTGAACGTGACTTGCCTGGATAAAGATGGGATCATTTGAAACAACAGCAGCAGTTAGATGAGCATGCATCTTCTCCAAAGCATCCAACACTAGAGGAAGCTGATCCTTTTTGTATTCCGTTACAATCTGAAACGGTCCAAAGATTTCTTTGGTGACGAGTTCATAAGTTTTATTATCCTTCAAGATCTCTTCAATGGGAACATAAACTGCAGTAGGCTCCAAGGCTCCATAGATAGAAGGAATTGAATGGTTCTTCAATGGTTTCCCACCAAAGAGTAGCTTTGAGTTTGGAATCTGAAGTAGATTCTCCATGTGCTCCAACATTGCCTCAGTTGTAAACTTTCAAAAATGAAAAGAAACAGTTTTAGTGACACAATCTCAGTAGATGGTTGCAGACATAATGAATGGAACTTAACTGTTAGGACAGGACCAATGGTTAAGTCTTCTAGTTTCCGTCTTCCGGCAAGATCTTTTAGTTTTGAAACAAGAGGGGTTTTCCCCCAGTTCTGTAAGAACAAGAAAGATAAGTTAAAGAAACTTGGAAGTAGCCAAAAAAATTTAGAATCAAACCAAACAAACCTCATGCATGAAAAGCATAGACTGTGCTGAACACTTTTGTCCACTGCAAGCGTATGCATCTTGATCACAAACCCATGCAACGTAATCAACTTCCTGAACATCTGGTCCCAAGACCTTCCAATCAAATCCAGCGTCTTCTAATCTGATCCTACCCTTGAGATCAAGTGCCAGCTTTTCAGCTACTCTAGAGCTACCAGTGAAGAGTGTCATCCTTGGATTCGCCTGCATGAGAGTGACACAATAGGTAAAAAACTTGTGGAGACAATAAGCTTGTGAGTTCTGAAAACACCAACCTCTAACAATATCTTGTTCATAGTCTTGCCATCTGAGTTTATGAAGTCAACATCTTCTAAGGGTAAACCACAATAGTGAAGCAAACGCATCATTTGCTCCATTACAATGCTCACCTATTGAAACAATCATGAAAAGAGATTATGGATAGTTTTTTTTTATGTGTGAAGAAGACAAAACACAAGAATAGTATACCTTGCTGTCAACTTTAAGAAGAGGTTTGTTACCCATGTATAAAGCACCCATTAACTGAAGTAGAGGAATCTCAAGTGGGAAATTAAATGGTGTAACAATTGTCACCTGTATCATAACTCATAAATAACTCCACAGTTTCAAAAACAGAAGTGTCAAAGTTAAAAAAGTATCTAGTAAAGAATGTCTTACAGGACCATAAGGCCAACGGTAGCCATGACTTTGCTGGCCAAGATGGTTCCCAGGTACTGCAAAAGACCTTGCCAGGAACCGCACCTGATTAAAAAAGAAAGTGAAAGCAGAATATCATCAAACAAATATTCTAAAGCTGTAACCTTACAGATTCAGCCACATATATAGTGAAGACATTCATGTACCTGATCGCCACAAAAGTTCTCTAAGAACTTTCGTGTGACAAAGACTTCTCCCTCAGCTTGCTGGTAACTCTTTGGAGCAACTCTTTGAATCAACCTCGTGAAGAAATCAGATACCTAATAAAGTATATAAACACACACAACAACAACAAACAACTAGTAGCTCAGTACACAAATTATTCAAGAAATCTAACTTTAAATTTTTTCAAAATAAACAAAACATATGTTACCTTAGGTAAGGCAAGCATATGAGCTGCCTTGGTGGAGATATCTCCATACAAAAGGTACCTTCAGAAAACATAACCATAGGTTTTTAGATAAGAATCATAAAAGCTTAGATCACAAGTAAAGTATACCTCTCTGGAGATTTGAAAGGGTTATGAAGACCATGTTTAGGACACTGTGACAAACTCTCAACAAATGGCTGCAACATTAAAACAACAGAGAAGAGAAATAAAGTTAGAATAGTGACTTGGATACATACAACGTTGTCAGTAATAACTCAAAGACTCGTACCTGAACTCCTGATTCCTCAACTTCAGAGACTTTAATGAAAGGTTCTCCATTGAGAGGGTCAAGAAGCGTGTTATAGTTAGAAGAACCTATCCACTTTCCTTGCACTATATAATATATAAAAAGAAGCTTTTAAATCATTTAACATGACTTCAAGAACCAATCAAAATACTAAGAAGTTAAGTGAAGACATTATTACCAAAGCTCTGTACTTCACCAGGGTGAGAACCAGAGATCTCCTCAGCATCAACGGTAGCAAATGGTAATGAATGTTTCAATCTGCAAAAGTTATGTTTATTACATAGAGACTGTCGGATGCGGAAACTCGATTATGTAAAGATCAGATTTTTATTACACCAACTTGATAAAGTTTATGTCTTTTTTATATAATTTTTAATTAAATTTTATAAAAAGACAAAAAAATTTGGCGATGGTTGAAAAACCTGGAAGAGGTGAAAGAAGCAAGGAAGGTGGATGATTTGTTGTCACAGAGAGACTTAGCTCTGCTCGCTAAAGCTCTGTACATTGCTTAAGATCCACAAGAGACGGAGAGGAGATGAAAGTATGAAACTCAAGACGTTTTGAAGAATTGAAGATTGGTGAAAATACTGAGAGTGATGTGTTTTTGTGAAAATACATAAAATGATTTTTTTGATATTTACAGATTACTTCCCTAATTTCATGACTTTTTACTGTTTCTCCCCATAGATTTAGTTTGATAACTATTTAACCCTTATGACTCATTTCATGAGAAAGAAACATTCTTGTCTTATTAAAAAAGAAGAGGGGATGGATTAGTATCCATTAATCTTAATCAGTAAGGTATTAATTGACCAAATTTGCTTTGGTCTTTACGCTACACCATTCAATAAAATAATAATATGGAAGAAAATAATTTTAATATAAATATCCTTTTCTTTTTTTGTCTTTTCTCATTTCTTATAAGGTGAAGCAAAGAAAAGAAAAAAAATATCTTCTCTGTTTCTCTCTAAATCTCTGCTATCCTCTACTCATTTTTCATCATCTCTTTTTTTTTTTTCTCCCAAAACTTTTAAGTCTATTAAATATTGAAAAAAACTGTATTCTTCTTCATCAAGCTTTTAAATTTCAGGTTAGTCTATCTTCTCTGATATCTCTGTATTAAACTTTAGGCTTTACTGATTGTATAAGCCTAGATCTTGTTTTTTCTTCTTTGAGGGCCCAAGAAAGTTGAAAACTTTATCAGAAAAATGATATTACCTTTTTGAGAAAAAAACCATAAAGAGTTCTTTGATTTTTTCAATTTCAATGCAGTCTTGTTTGTTTGTTTTGCAGCAATGGCAACTCCAGCTAGAAAGAGACTCATGTGGGACTTCAAGAGACTCCAGAAAGATCCTCCCTTGGGGATTAGTGGAGCTCCTCAAGATAACAACATCATGCACTGGAATGCTCTCATCTTTGGGTATATACAATTCTTTAAACCATTTTTATTTTCTTTTTCTTCACTATGTTTTTTCAAACTATAAACAAATATTTTTTCTTCATTGTATTTTTTGCAGACCTGATGATAGTCCATGGGATGGAGGTATATAACTTATTGATTCCACATGTTTCATGAGTTTATAAATATTAAGCTAAAAGCTATGTTGTTAAATCTGTTATAGGTACTTTCAAGTTAACTCTTCAGTTCACTGAGGATTACCCAAACAAACCACCAGTAGTTCGCTTTGTTTCTCGAATGTTTCATCCAAACAGTAAGCACTAATAATACTTTAATAACCAAAAAAAGATAAGTTCTTGATTTGATGTTTTGAACTTTGTTGCAGTTTATGCTGATGGAAGCATTTGCTTGGATATATTACAAAACCAGTGGAGTCCCATATATGATGTCTCAGCGATCCTCACATCAATTCAGGTTTTTTTTTTTTGACAATTTGCATTGTAAGTTTATGCATAAACTAACTAACATCTTGGTTTTGTTTTGTTTACAGTCTCTGCTTTGTGATCCAAATCCTAACTCGCCAGCAAACTCTGAAGCTGCGAGGTTGTTTAGTGAGAACAAAAGAGAGTATAACAGGAGAGTTATGGAGATTGTGGAGCAGAGCTATGCTTAATACTATTGTGATTCTATTTGTATTGACTGTTGAGAATCTTGAGAGTGAATAGTTTTATCTTCTTATGTCATATAAAATTGGATTTTATAAGTTTCAAACTATGAATCATCAAACTCCAATAGAAAACAGTACATCTTCTAATGAAGATGAAGAGACGTGAGAAAGAAAAAAAATACATAACATAATTGCAAATGCACCTTCAACAATCATTCAACATTCATTGAGCTAACTCAAGTTAGGGCTTTATAAAATATGACAACACATTAATGTGTTTTCAAAGTTGGGCTTTGGTTGGGCTCGGTGTAATAGTCTGAAAACACTCTATCATCTTACAATAAAAGATGTAATGCTTTTTCATAAAATAAAATTTTCTTATGATTTTGTAATGCTATAAACTTATGATAGACATAGTTTAGTCGGCTGTAAATCACAAATTATACTATATTATTGTATCAATTTTGATTCGCAGTATGTTTAAAATATGTACAATTAATAATAAACATTATTCTGTCATCTCGAAACTCAATGTGTGTCGAAGAAGAATTATCCAATGGGCAAAGGAGCAAAATCTGAAGCACAACGAGACTATTTCCCAAATGCAGGCCAAGCTAAAACAAGCTCTCTCAGCTAATCCTCCGAACAGAGAAGGCATTGAGGAGATAACTAACTCCTTGATTGCTGCTTATAAGGATGAGGAATTATTTTGGCAGCAATGGAGCAGAATTCAATGGCTTAAATGTGGAGATAGGAATACGGGATTCTTCCATGCTGCAACGCGACAAAGACGCCTCATCAATTCTCTCTCGGTTATTGAAGATGATGACGGCTCTGAGTTTTATGAGGAGGAACAAATTTGCTCTGTTATATCCAACTATTTTGAGAACATATTCACCTCCAATGGCAACTCTGATTTTGCAAAACTCGAGAGCATCCTGGCTAGTAAGGTAACGCAGGAGATGAATGACAGTCTCACAGGTATACCGAGCAATTCGGAAATAAAAGGAGCAGTCTTCTCTATAAATGGTGGAAAAGCTCCAGGCCCCGATGGTTTTTCGGCGAAGTTTTATCAGGCTTATTGGCACATTGTTGGGTCAGATGTTTGCAACGACATCCGACAATTCTTTATTGCTGGTACACTACATCCTCAACAGAACGAGACGCACGTTCGTCTTATTCCCAAGATCACTAGTGCCCGGAAAGTAGCAGAATACCGCCCCATTGCCTTGTGTAATACCCATTACAAGGTTATTGCGAAGATCTTGACGCGCAGATTGAAACCGCTACTACCAGCCCTTATCTCCCCTTCGCAATCTGCTTTCGTTGCGGGACGTGCTATTGGAGATAATGTCTTGATCACACATGAGACACTGCATTTCCTACGCACATCGGAAGCAAAGAAATATTGCTCTATGGCGGTGAAGACGGATATGAGCAAGGCGTATGATAGGATCGAATGGGGCTTCCTTCGTAAGGTTCTCGAGCTGTTAGGCTTCGATCAGAGGTGGATCTCTTGGGTCATGTGTTGTGTGGAGACTGTGTCATATTCATTCCTGATCAACGGAGCACCCATGGGGTCAGTGACCCCGTCCCGTGGTATACGGCAAGGTGATCCGCTATCCCCGTACTTGTTTATCCTCTGCACTGAAACCTTATCTGCTTTATGTGACTCGGCTCTTCTGGATGGGTCCCTCCCGGGAGTGAGAGTGGCTCGGGGCTGTCCAGCCATTAATCACTTATTGTTCGTCGATGATACTATGTTTTTCTGCCGGTCTACGCCGACTAGTGTTTCTGCCCTTTTAGAGATCCTCCGGTTGTATGAGAGCTTATCGGGACAATGCATCAACTTCTCTAAATCTTCGATCACCTTCTCAGCCAGAACCCCACCTGAAGTTAAGGCCAGAGTCAAGACCACCCTATCTATTGATGCTGAGGGAGGATTAGGGAAGTACTTAGGACTTCCCGAACATTTTGGGAGGAAAAAACGAGACATCTTTGCGACTATTCTGGATAAAATCAGACAGAAAACCATTAGTTGGAAGAACCGTTTTCTCTCGGGGGCAGCTAAGGAGGTCCTCTTAAAAGCGGTACTCACTGCCATGCCTGCGTATACAATGTCCTGCTTCAAAATTCCTCTCTCACTGTGTAAGCAAATACAGTATCTCCTTACTCGATTCTGGTGGGACGCTAACCCGGATCAGAAGAAAATGTGCTGGATTGCGTGGTCCACACTCACCTTACCTAAACATGCGGGAGGGTTAGGTTTCCGTGATATCAAAGCTTTCAATGACGCTCTTCTCGCCAAAATAGGCTGGCGCTTGATTCAATCTCCTAACTCCCTTCTTGCTCGGGTTCTATTGGGGAAGTACGCACGCCACTCTTCGTTTTTACAATGCACTGCCCCATCCACCATGTCACATGGATGGCGAAGCATTTTAGCAGGGAGAGAAGTTCTTAGGAAGGGCCTCGGATGGATTGTGGGAAACGGAGAGAAGATCAGTGTCTGGAGAGACCCATGGCTGTCATGTTTCCTTCCGCTGACGCCTATGGGTCCGGTGCAGGAACACGGCTCCAACCTCCTGGTTAGTGACCTACTGTGTCTGTTGTCAAATACTTGGGATAAGGACAAGATACAGAGACACCTACCAAGCTATGAAGAACAAATCCTTAGTATTGTTACGTGTTCGGCGCCTGCAATGGACAGTGTTGCTTGGTTGTTCGACAAATCTGGTGTTTATACCACGAGGACTGGTTACCGAGCAGCAATGGGATTCCTGGAACCTTACAGCTCTCTGCCCTCTTCTTTTAATTGGCTGCAAAACGTCTGGAATGTGAACACGTCGCCGAAGATCAAGAATTTTTTGTGGAAGCTTGCGAGCAAAGCTATTCCGGTCAGTTCAAATTTGGCTCGCCGAGGAATCACACCGTTCAGGTGTAAAGCTTGTGGTGCAGAGGAGGACGAACTCCATGTCTTCCTCCAATGTCCTATTGCTAACCAAGTATGGAATGATGCTCCCTTAACGACCAGACCTCCTAATTATGTGTCTTCTACTACTGCTTTGCTAGAGTGTTGCCATACTCTCATTACCCTCCCACCAGCTGGCCTGTCTGCTCCACTATGGCCGTGGCTGCTATGGAATCTTTGGAAGGCGAGAAACCGGTTATGCTTCGAAAATAGGAGTGTGGTGGCTATGGATGTTGTAGTCAAGGCAACAAATGACGCTAGAGAGTGACAATCAGCGCAAATCCAGGATCCCACAACCAACTCTCTTGCGCACAAAACCGGTGGACACTCTCACACACCTCGCCTACAGCCTCCTACATCAGATACTCTCATTTGTAATGTTGATGGAGCTTGGGATGCAGGAACAAATAATTGTGGGACAGGAGCTGTTTTCTCCGGGGAGGGTATACGCACATGCCCATCTCCCATCTCCACCTCGCGTGGATTCGTATCATCGGCGCTCATGGCTGAGGCTCTCGCCATCCGTTCGGCAGTTATGTATGCCGCTTCGTTGAATGTTAGTTCCCTAATGATCCTGTCTGACTCTCAATCCTTGGTGAAGCTTGTGAAGGAGAGAGGTACGGTACCAGCTTTGTTTGGCATCTTGTTCGACATCTACCATTTTAGTTCCTTGTTTTAGTTTATTTCCTTTGCATATGTACCTCGATTGAGTAATGTTATGGCTGATACGGTGGCAAAATCAGCCCTCTCATTGCTTAACTCATCCTCCTCTCATGGAGTGTAAGAACCTTTTTAGAATGAATGAAGATGTGTTTGATAAAAAAAAAACCTTGTTTAAAATAAGTGCAATTAATAATAAACATTAGTATTAAACTTTAGCCTTCTTTAAAACTTTTATAGATGGTATAATACTTTTTTTAAAGGAAATTGTGAACAAGAGTATCCTAGCTATTCTCATTGTGTTTGTGTACACAAACAATCAAAGCGTTGGCTAAATCCTAAATGAGTAAAAAGACATTCAAACCAAAACAAAGACATATTCCTAGTGGATGTCATGTTCTTGTTTTTTTTATCTAATCGTTTCTGTCATAATCCGACTTTTTCACACTAGAAACAACATAACTTTTTTTTATTTCACTTACCGAAGAGCGTTATATACATTATAGAAACTTTATTTGAAAAGGATATTGTTTTCTCGTTATCTGAGCATGTAACACGCCTGAGATTGTCGGTCATCGGCAATTATCATTATAGTGTGCAATTAAAAAGAGAGATTAAATCATAAAGTGTGTATTTAGTCGGTTTACTTTTCAGTTTGTAACTACCAAGGACTTGGATTAGCTCATACTCTTGATGTTATGGTACATCACTCCCTCAAAATCCTTTTCAGTGTTGGTAACATACATTTCTAAGGTCTAAAGTTTTACTACTCTATTATTACTCTAGATTAAAAAAATAATATCATTCTAAAATTATTTTCTTTTTTTATATCATATACCATTTTATAACCAATAAATTTACACAAATCATTTTTAGTTAATTAATTATACACTGTATTAAATAAAGAATATATATATTAATAGATTTATATTTTGTAATCCACAAAAGAATACCAATTTTATCCAAAGTGTAAATGATAATGTGGTGTCCATTAATAATCATCAACTTTACACTATTAATATCAAAAAGTAAAGTAAACCAACAAGAAAAAGTCAGACTAGTTACCATCAGCGTTACCATTTCCTTTTTGTTTGATTACTTTTAATAAGATTCACTAAAAAAAAAAAAACCATTTAAACTCCATCAAACACCTGCTTCATCTCTTCTTCTCTGTTCCTCCTCTTGCCAATGGGTGGAACCAACAGACAAAGATGGTTCTCTTTCCACCAACGCTCCGCCTCCGCCACCGCAACAACAATCCCACAGCACA